TCTTGCTCAGGCTGGTCTCGAACTCCTGAGCTCAAACAATCCGCCCGCCTCGGCCTCCCAGAGTGCTAGGATTACAGGCGTGAGCCACCGCGCCCGGCTGTCATTCTTAATTTTTTTCCTCTCTCAAGTGTCCCTCCCAGCACGAATGTTCAACAAATTCTTTCCATTCCAATTCTCAATATCTCTTAAATCTTTCTATTCCCTGTCCCTGCTTCTTTCCTTCCTTTCTTTTTTTAGAGACAGAGTCTCGCTCTGTCCCCCAGGCTAGAGTGCACTGGCACAATCACAGTTCACTGCAGTCTCGAACTCCTGACCTCCAGTGATCCTCCTCCCTCGGCCTCACAGAGTGCTAGGATTACAGGTGTCAGCTGCTGCCCCCGGCATATGTATTTTAATTTATTTAAACATTTTTTTTGAGATAGGATCCATATGCATCTTCAGACTACCAAAGGAGTCTATGATACAAAAAAAGTTGAGTCCAAACCTAGAATGTTCTTTCCCACTGTTTCTACCTGGGGGACTGCTATTATCCCTTTAAGACTTGGTTAAAATATCACCTTCACCAATGAACTATTACCGTGGCCCTAACTGCTAGGCTACCTCCCCAGCCCTCGACAGTCCACAGGCCCTTTGTACATGTCTGGTTCCCCTGCCAGACAAAGTTCCTTGAAGGCAGAAAGGTCGTTCCATTCTGTGTATTTAGCACTTGGCTCAGGGCCTGTCACACAGAAGTGAAATAAAGTTTTGTTGGATAAATGAATATAAAAGTGTATCAGCAGATGAAAGATTCTAGAGTCTTAAAACCTGGGTTTGAATCCTGGCTAACAATTAGTAGCTTTGTGACTCTGGGAAAGCCATTTAACCCTTCTAACCCTCCTTTCTCAGGAGTGAAACGTGGTAACATGCCCGTGCTCAGTGTACGCTACTGCTCAGAGGATCTCACAGAACAACAGCGTGAAAGGGCTTTGTCCAGTCGCAAGGGCTACACAGAATGCAGCCATTATTATACTGACTTATCTAGTAATAGTAACACATAAAAAAAGTGTCGAGAATGAAAAAGCCACACACTGAGAGAAAATATTTGCAAAAGACACACCTGATAAAGGACTGATATCCAAAATATACAAAGAACTCTTAAAACTCAACAAGAAAACGAAACTAATCTAAAAATGGGCCAAAGACTTTATCTAATAACTCATCAAAAAAGATACACAGGTGGCAAATGAGCATATGAGAATATGCTCTGCTTCATATGACATCAGGGAAATGCAAATTAATACAATGAGACACCACTGTACACCTATGAGAATGGCCAAAAGCCAGAATATGACACCATGAAATGCTGACGAGGATGAGGAGAGAAACTCTCATTCACTGCTGGTGGGGATACAAACTGGTACAGTCGTTTTGGAAGACAGTTTGCCAGCTTCTTATAAAACCAAGCATATTCCCGCCATACAATCCAGCGATCACACGCCTATGTCTCCACAAAAACCTGCACATAGATGTTTACTGCAGCTTTGTTCACACCAAAACTTGGCAGCAACCAAGATCCCTTTAATAGGTGGATATAATGTGGCCATACCTATCAAAATTTAATATGTACGTGCCCTTTGACCTAGCACTTCCACTTTCAGAAATATTTGCTCACATGTGAAGTAATATACATACAGGTTGCTGTGAGCTAGCCTGATGCCACGGCACTCTAGCCCGGGCAACAAAAGTAAGACTCTGTCTCAAAAAAAAAAAAAAAAAAAAAAAGATTTCCTCAATTCTAAAGAGACAGGAGAAAGTTGCCAAGAAAGCACACGTATATGAAAAAACAACCAAGCCAATGATACACAAACAAACAATAACCAATTTGGGCCTAATTATGAGTTTGAGAGTTAGATGTAAGACCAAGCAGAAGGAAATAAAGTTATCAACTATTTTCACTATCAGTAAACGACGTCACTTTCTACTTCACAGACAGAGTGAGCCTCGGGGAAACTTGCAATTTCCTGCCATCTACCTCTAGATCCATTTTCGTGAGTAACCTGAGAACAGGTTATCTGATTTGCTTTTATATTTCCTTGAGTTCTTCAATTCCTAAAAGTTACAAACCAGGTTGCTCAATGATACGCTATTTAACTTATTAACTATTCCCCTACTTAAATGTCCTCTATAATCTTCTTACCTACAGTTAGGAAGGTGCTCAACAGTTGCTCCGTGGCAACGGGCTTGATCTCCGTTCGCAGATTAACAAATCTGCCAACCACCAACGGGGCTCGGCGGAAACCCAGAATCCTGGTTTGGAAAGTTCAAGAACAGAAGAGAAAAATCTTTGGGGATGCATTTTAAATAACAGTCTCAAAAATTATGGTTAAACATGGTAATGTGTAAAACAGGTTTTGTAGCTAGGTAGGTAAATCTCATTTTTTAAAGGAACATATATTTAGGAGTTTAACGTCAAGATGCATGTAATTTAATGTACACTCCAGCAAAAAGGATAAGGCAAATCTGGCAAAATCTAGGGAGTGGGTATATGGGTTCATTATACTATTCTCTCTACTTTCGTTAGAAATTTTTCATAAGAAAAATTAAAAATAAATTTTAAAGCATTAGGAAAAAAACTGGGCCTAAACTCATACAGGGGTTCAAAGCTTCGGATAAAATAGCACATTGACAAAAAACTATGCAGATTAATCTAAAAGGATAAACCCACAGGACAACTCATATATAGTCATATATGAAGATCTAATAAATCAAAAAGTACTACATTATAGGTAAAAACACTCGTTTTTTTAAAAATGAAATTTCCTGGCTAAAAAATACACACTTACTGAAGCAAAGGTGGAGGGGCAGAATTTGGAACACACAGAAAATTTATAATGAAGAAAATAAAGATCACCCATAACTCCCCAACCCGGAAGTAACTACAGATACAGACATTTTGGCCTATAAGCATTTTTTTCCTTTACATGTATATATAAACACATACAGTTATGTAAAAACATACAATTGAGATTATACTGTACGCGCTTCTATCTGCTTTTTACTCAATGCTGTGTACTGAACTTTTCCCCACATCATTCAAAAGCCTTTAAAAATGGTTATGTAATAAATAATCCATTGTTTAGAGCTGCTGATTCTGTCCTAAACCCAATCTTAGAAAAAGCCACAAAAGCAAGATCAACTGATTTGTCAAAATAACACAAAAATCAAGAGAACTCCCTGAGGCCAGGGAAGGTGGTTAAATCTGAATATAATGGAGAAACAGCAACCCAAAGCAGAAAAGTACCAGAAGCCATGAAGGTTAGGAAGTATTTTTTCTCCCCCTTGACCACTGGCAGGTCAAAGGACATCAGCCGGGTTAGCACCGAGTGGCAATACCACAGTGGCACTGGAGCCTGGCGAGGGCAGCCACTTAACAAAAGAGGTCGGGGGACTGGTCAGAGAATATCTTTCAGATTTTGGGGTAAGGAAGGATTTTTGAATATAAGACCTCCAAAGCACAAGTCATCAACTGAAACATTATATTTAATTAACATCAAAAGTGACAATTTCTGTACAAAGAATATTTCACTCTAAGTTTAAAAATAACGAACAGCAGCGTCCTGCTGTGAAAAGACAAACTTTGCCAGTAAATACATAATAACAATGAGATACCACTTTACAGATATATTAACAAAAATTAGTGTGTTGGATAATACAAAATGTTGGTATTGAAATGGGGATCTTCATGCCCTGCTGGTATCCAACAAATAGGAAACAGAAAGGGGGCTGTGGATGGAGAAACTAGGCAAACAAACAAGGTCTTGGAAAGCCTGATCCTAGTGTGCCGCTGAGTGAAGAGTAGGATTTATCCAACTCTGCCACTAGGTCTTAAAAGAGGCAACGACAATTCACGGTATGGTAAACATTTATTTAACCTTTTCCATATGAATAGATGTTTAGGTTGCAGACCAGTTGTTCATTACTGAAAATGCTATAGCTAACATAGTTGTACATGTACCTTTGAATTCTTGATTATTTCTTTAGGGCTGTGGTCCCCAACCCTGGAGGCCATGGACCTGTGCTGTCCAAGGCCTGCCAGGAACCAACGGCGGTTGGTGAGTGAGCTAGCGAAGCCCCACCTGCACTCGCAGCCACTCCCCGTTGCTCACATCACCGCCCGAGCCCTGCTCCCCGCCACGAGAGTGTGAACCCCACTGCAAATTGTGCATGCGAGGGGTCCAGGTTGCGTGCTCCCCGTGAGATTCCAGCGCCTGATGATTTGAGGTGGAGCTGAGGCCGCGATGCCCCCACCGCCCGGTCCACCTTCCACAAAACCGATTCTTAGTGTCAAAAAGGTTGGGAACCACTGCACTAGGGTACTTTCTAGAAATATCTTAGGTATGTGCCTAAAAGGCAGTTATTTGTTCAAAGGCAGTTATTTGTTCAACATTAATTAAGGTTTTTGAGACATAATGCCAGATTTCTTAACAGAAAGATTGAACCAATGAACAATGCCATAAGTAGCATATGAATCTCAATGTCTTTCTGCCAATAAAGTATTATCTTTTTCTTAATCTTTGCCATTTTCATCAGGTAAAAATTATACCATTGTTTCATCTGAATTCTAAAAAATTTCTGGTGAGAATGAACTCTCCCAATATTTGTTAGCAATTGAGAATTCCTATTCAGTTAACTACTTGTGTTCTCAACCCATTTTCTACCAGAGTTTTGGCATACATACAGATTTGTATAAACACTTATATTAAGGCTATTAATACTTAGATTACATTAGATTCAAATATTTTCTCCAAGTTTGCTTTTAAATTTTTATGCTGTTTCTTGACATGTAACTTAGTTTTTTTTTATTTAGTTAAGTCTACTGAACTTTTTCTTTGTGATTTTTTAAATTATTGCTTTTATGCTTACAAAATCCTAATTCACCTTAATTTTTTTCTGGTTTCCTTAGAGATTCATCTTTTAAACAAATATTGTGAATAATTTCTTTGAAACTCTGTCAATATGCCCTGATAAAAGAGCTGGTCAGAAGAGCATTTAGGATACCAGCTAAGTTCAACTACAAGATTCCTGACAAGCAACCTATTGAAAAAAATATGAATTTTCCTGGTTAACTTATAAACCTAGAATTCATAACTATTTTTCTTTTGGAATTATTCTGGTTTTTGAAGCTGTGCATATTTTGCATAAAGGACAATAAAACGCATTATATAATCCATGCTATATGCGTCCAGCATACGGGGACCAGTTAGTATCACAAACAAAACAACACAACAGGACCGCCAGGCCCAATTAATGGCCAATTTGATTCAGGGATTTGAGTTCAAACTTTATTTACCAAGAATATCTTCACTCATGATAATGAGAGTGTGCCAGGAATAAAATGACTTAAAAAATCCTAGAGTTAAAATATTTACTCTGGTATTCCTGGTGCCATCCAAATTATGAGGGACTCATATAAATTTAATGGAACTAGTTAATCAGCTATATACAATAGGTTACAAGTCAGTTATTAGTACTGCATCCTTTAGAAAGAGCCCACGAGTCCTCTTCAGGAGAGATTTTTAGAAGGAAACAAAATTAACATAACTATTGGGATTGCACATACCTGTCCAAATGAAAGGCTGCTACCTCTGCATTGTGTCTGTCGTAGCCGGCATATGGTTCCCCTTCCACCACGTGGTCTCGGCTGTATCTGCAAAGAGAGCAGGAAGCACAGATGCAGACAAGAATTACATCAGCACCAGAGACCTCAGCACAAGAAGTAGAACGCGAACTTTAGCAAGCCCGATTCTGCTCTGTGGACACCTTCTCTGTCAGCCCTGAGAACTGTGGGTTAGCTAGATGGAGTGAAGATGAGGTGGATGAGGAAACTGGAATTCTCTATCTGCCCCAGAAACTATTCTAAGAATAAACATGGAAGCTGTTATTTTTACCCCTCAAAGGGCTTTCAATGCAGTTTAAGTACAAGTATAAGGTAGTTTTCTGGAAGGCAGGGACCTTTCTTATCACCAGCACATTAAGTAAATAGTTGGAGCTTAATAAAAGTCTACTAACATGTTTATTCAACTGAAGAAATGAAAGAAAAAATGTAGTTAAAACTTTCGTTTACTAGAATGGCTATGGTATGGCTTACAAGAGAAGTTTACATTTCTTCGGGGAAATCAATCTGATATGCCTCAGATTTTGTGAATGAGAAGGCAAAGGTGTTTTTGAAAAAAGTTGTTTGAATCATTTTATTCTCTCTTTTTAAGTTTATGATAATGTAGTAGAAGAAATCCTGGACTGGTGGTGAGAGGTCGGTGTGGCTCTGTCATCACCTGACTGAGTAACCTTAAGCAAAACCCTTCTCTGCTCTGGGTCTCAGATTCCTTACCTACAGTATTAGGGGCTGGACTAGGAGGTAATTTCCAAGGTTCCTTTCACCTCGAACTGCATTATGATGATTTTATATCATATGCACAACATAACAAAGGATAATGAAAACTGGCGTATTTCTTTCTACTAATCATTTAAAAAGACATTATACAATTTAAACCTGCTAATAGGGGAGAAAAAATACTTAATTTAGCTATGATGTCTACTCTATTGGTCACCTGAATTTCCTGAATCAAAAGGAATCTATTAGGTTTTACGAGGGAACTGTGAAATAGAAATAAATTGAGACTGAAGCAAAGAAGAGCAGTTCTACTAAGGACAGTTGGATCCCCAATGCTGAAACAGCGATGGGGAAGTAGAAAACAGTAGTATAAAAGGCAGTGACCTTCAACTTAAATGACCTTAGAATATAAAGTTAAATCATCTCTACAAAACATATCTTCAAAGCGAAGTGATGAAGCATGTGTCAGAAGACAGCCATGCATCACCACCTGGTTAGACACCAGTTTCTCCTTAGCGTGGTCTATATACCCAATCCTTTGTTCCCAGAGCAAAGGATTATTTAGGCTACCTAGGTTTATACTGGCTACTTCTAAATTAAAAGTCAATTTTTAAATACCACTATGGCAAAAGCTGGCAGGACTCAAGCACTTTTCTGTCTACTACAGGTGCAGGCTGTCCATAAAGCTGGGGGAAAGGCCTTGGATACTTTATTTTTCAGTACTTCAGGGGAGCCATGGGAAGACAGACGGTGAAATGCACTGTATCCCTTTCGGTGAACATTAAAGAGCTCTCCAATACATCTAAAGCCTACTTGGCTTTAAATGTAAAACCCTAGAGGGAATCCAAGAACTTTGGGAATGGGCTGGAGAAGAAGAGAGGGAAGGAAAAGAGAAGGGAATAATAGTGAAAACAAAAGGGCTGCACTGGAATCAGAAGGTCTGAATGCCTAGCTCATGTGTTGGCTACGCGACACACCAAAGTCAGAATTCCGGATCTCATTTTCCCAACCTGTAAAATGAATAGTTGGACTAGCTGATCTCCACGGTCCCTTCCAGCACTTTCTAAGATCACTCACTCACTTCCACCCAATCACAGGCCCCTGCCTTCTTGTTCCTTTTCTACCACAACTACAGTTTTTACTTGTGAAAATCAATTTACTTCCAGAATGGATAAAGCTACATTGAAAAAAAAATCACTTTTATAGTGTAAGGCAAAATGTATAAATGAAAGTGTCACTGTATTCCTATGCATGTCATCTACCTATACTGTACGTATTTTCTAAGAGTAAAACAAAGATAACCAGGCTCCAGAAATGCTGAAACCACAGTGGCTATTAAGGAAAGGTGCATGTCCTGACTTAGCAGGAAGAACTTAGATCTTCCTCTCAGCAGAGAGTGATCCATCTTAAGTCACTGACAGAGCAGCAAAATTCATTCGGTAACTGCCAATAAATCACTCCTATCCTTTTGGTGAAGGACATCAGAGTCTCACCAAGGACATTAATTTGCACTTACATCAGGATTAAATAGCTCCTGAGGCCCTGGGGGTCAGAACAGCATTTTGCTGGGTGTTAAGGGACTAGAGTCAATTTCTACAAGCTCTTCAACCTACACCCACTCTCCCCAGCCTGTGACAGTGCCCAGTGTAAAGCAGCATAGGTCAGTGTGTGCAGTGACTAAGAGAGTTAACACCTATGGCAGGGACCAAGAATCCCTGCTGCGTGGGGGAGGAGAGTGCCCTGGAGCAGGGAGTGGACGTGGACTGTGGAGGAGACGGCTGGGGAGTCTGACAGGAGCGAAGAGCAAAGGGAGGAGAGGGCTGGGTAGAAAGTGGAGGACCAGCCTGTGAGGGGCTTGACCATTAGGCTGTGGAGGCTGGGTTGTCTGCTGGGCAAAAGGAAGCCCCTGGTATCTTAAAGCTGGGGAGCACAGCGGTAATATGGGTCTTCTGAGGGAAGAACTGAAGTGGTTTTCAGGATGGTCTGGGAGAGGAAGGTAACAGGAAGGTTGCAGCGGTAGGAAGAGAGATGAGATGAAGCAAGCAGTGACTAAGGTTTATGTATTATCTGTTGCTACCTCCCCCACCCATCAGTGTGGCTTCTGCCCCCTCTGCTTATACCGTGTTGAACACTCCAGGCCTATCTGCAAAGCACTTGGTCCAACACTGTGCACTACCAGGAGTGTCTGCCATCTAACACTTCCTGCTGTCCCATCTCCCCCTCAATTTTCCAGTGCACAAGTGGTGGGTGTGGAGAGGATCTCCTCTTGTTTAAACACTGAATGTGTGTAACTCTTCTCTTTCTATACCAATTTAATTTTTGTTTTTAGTTTGCCTTTCTCCATCACTCTGCTTATACTCTAATTTCTCACACTACAAACTATGAAGTCAAGAATCATACTTCAAAACTAAATTAGTGATTTTTTTTTAAGAGTCAGGGTCTCAGTCTGTCAGCCAGGCTGGAGTGCAGTGGTGCAATCATAGCTCACTGCAGCCTCAAACTCCTGGGATCAAGCGATCCTCCTGCCTCAGCCTCCCAAGCAGCTGGGACTACAGGCACGCACCACAACACCCAGCTTAAATTAGTAATTTTGGATGATGAAATACTCCACACCATCACACTGAAGGAAGGCTAACAAACTCAGAGAATTACATGTATATGGCAGAACACAAGCTGCCTACAACTCTGACTGATCTGGGTTCAAATGCCAGCCCCACTGATTAATGTGAGGTGATCTTGTCAAATTAGTTACTTGACAGTTAACTGCCCACAAAGGTTAAACTTGATTATAAGGGTTAAAGGCATTAACAGACACAAAAGTATTTAGTATAATGTCTGGCAAATGGCGTGCATTCAATGGGAATTAGATCTCAAGGCCCACATAACCATACTTTTTCCGTATTACCAGCTAATCAGATTTTTCTATTCTCCAAAAGTCTGCCGTATATTTTAACTTTCCTAATTTCCACATCATGAATACATCATCATCAATACTTCCCAGTTCCAGATAAACACAGATCCTTTCCATTTCTGGGATCCACTCATTTTCTGGCTGCCTTTTATCTACTGACAGTTGGGCGATAAAGGGAGCTGAATTTTGTACATCTTTTCCCCGTGTTTCTTCTCCCACTCCAGAAAGAAATCCAAAGGTATAATTCTCTCAAAAGCTCCACTGAGAAATGAAAAAAAATGTTTAGTGCACAAACTAAAATGGCCCAGCTCTTTGCTTAAAGCAGATGAAAGAAACCATAAGACCTACTAAAATGATACACGAAGCAACAGGAACTCTCACTCACTCCTGGTGGGGATGCAAAATAGTAAAGTCAATTTGGAAGACAATTTGGTAGTTTCTTACAAAACTAAACATACCCTTACCACGCAATCCAGCAATTATTCTTCTGATATCAATCTAAATGAGCTGAAATTTATGTCTGCACAAAAACCCGCACAGGGGTGTTTATAGCAGCTTTATTCACAAGTGCCAAAACTTAGAAGCAACCAAGATGTCCTTCAGTGAGTGAGTGCATAAACAAACCACGGTACATCCAGACAATGGAACATTATTCAGGGATAAAAAGAAATGAACTATCAAGCCACAAAAAGATACGTAGAGGCCAGGGGTGGTGGCTCACACCTGTAATCCTAGCACTCTGGTGGGGAGGACTGCTTGAGCTCAGGAGTTTGAGACCAGCCAGAGCGAGACTGTGTCGCTACTAAAAATGGAAAAATTAGCTGGGCACAGTGGTGCGCACCTGTAGTCGTCCCAGCTACTTAGGAGGCTGAACAGAAGGATCACTTGAGCCCAGGAGTTTGAGGTTGCTGTGAGCTAAGATGACACCACTGCACTGCAGCTGGGGCAACAGAGCAAGACTTTGTCTCAAAAAAAAAAAAAAAAAAGTTCAATGTTATACTGAACTAAAACATGTTCTTGTAAATTTCCCCTGCTCAAAGAATCACAGTAACTTAAGTGCTAGAAAAGACTGCAGAGATCTTCTAGTCTACCCCTCTCATTTTACTGAAGAGACTACCAGAAGGAGATGAACTCTCACATAAAGCCCAACTAACTAGCACACACCACTTCCAAGATGAAGACTTACCGCTTAGGTTTGAAGACAACTTTCTGTCCTCCTTCAAGAATCAGTAAGGCTTTCAGCTGTGTCCCTTTATAACCTACGTCAGCTTTAATGATTTTCTTGGTGGCCATGGCATGCATGATTGCCCCCAGCTCTGGTGTCTCTTCAGGGTACACTTCCCGGGGAACCACCCACTGGGCTGCAATCTCCCAGGGAGACTGCAAGGTGTGGTCCAGCTTGGGTGCCAGCTCCACCCGTAAGCCAGTCATCATTCGGTGAAAAGCCCTCTGGTCCTCCCGGTTAGCAGCTGATGTATCTAAGTTGTCAATCAGGAAAACTTTGGTGAAGATAAAGATGACAAGGAGAATTGCTAACAGCACAACTCGCTGCTTTAGCTTCATGTTGACCTCTTTTCCTTCTCCCCGACCCACTCTTTCGCTCACTTATCAAGGAGAGCAAGGTGGTGATGGTTAGCAAGGAGATTCCATGATTATACACACTGGTCCATTTCTTCACTGAAGTGCCTTCCACGATTCCTGCAAGCCCAAGTACAAAGCAAAATTCGATCAGAAATTCCATCCTTCTACCACAAAATCTTTTGCATGCCTCTGATATATTAGTTACCCTTTTAGGCTTGCTAATCAGAAGCTTGAGAAGGTCTAATGATTTAAAATTAACTAGTCTGGGAAAGGACTTAATAAGTAAGAACTGTTTTAATTGGGATGCTGAGCCATTTGGCTGGCTATACATGGCTAATAACCAAAACAATGAGGAAAAAACACAACAAAAGCAAACCATTAAGATATGCACAATTCCTTAACTTTCATTTTTACCTTTCCAAATTCCTAAAGAACTTTTGAATATCCTAAACCACAAGTATTTGGTAACTTTCCAGTTCTTATCTTATCCAAATATAAATTTTATGACACCTTGTAAGACAGGAACTCCTAAAAATGCCAAACAGCACAGAAGAGAATAACTCTTTCTCTGAATCCAAATACCCAGCAATCCTGGACATGTCATACCTGCTGCTCACATATTTAAATACAACACCCAGACACGTATTTTCACTTAATCAGTTCCCTACTGATTATTTTTCAAAATTAAAAATCCCTGTAAACTATGGATAATCAAATCTGGATAAATTAAGTAAAGGAAAAACATGTCCCTATATCATCTAACTATTAGTAGACTATGACCAGAAAACTAATGAAACCTGGCACTACAGCAACAGTACTAAGCCTGGAATGGTCAGGCACATAACAAGGATATTCATACAACAGACATGAAGAAGTGCTGGTTCCAGGGTGGGGCTGACCACACTCTGGGCAATTCTCAAGCTAAAAGATTCCAAATACAAGATTTTTGCGAGGGTGTTAAGAACACACAATCCAATCTCATTTGCACGCTGAGAGGCTGCTACCTACTCTGTAAGGCCATTTAAAAACACGCACAGGCTTGCTCTGCCATGTGCCTACAGGTGGCACAGCACTGAGGTAAGACAAGAGGATAACAGAGGGCTGCTTCACTCTCCAATTCATTTACCAACTCAAACCATTCATCCAAGAAATGAAACCAATACAAATGATAGGGCAAATGATTTAGGCTGAGACACTCACACCCAAACTTGATACCGCTCCCCTAATAACAGCTGGAAACAGATTCAAAAGCAGTCCACTAGAGCAACCGTGTATTCAAAGGGCAACACCTTGTGGTGAGCCAGCTAACTGGAGTTTTATTCTCTATGATTAACCACTCCTTTCCTGTTCATTTTCATGAAGGAAGCAGAAAGTGAGAGTTAAATTCAAATTCTAATTACCCCCAGCCACCTGTTTTGTTTCATCATCTGGAAGGGAGTAGATAACACAATCAACTGAAACGAAGGCAATTCAAGTGCATCTAAAATGTAATTGTGATGGTATCGAGACTGGTGTGGAACTCAGTGAAACCGGTTCCCCTTGACTACTGATTAACAGCAGTGCCAGGAGAGCAGATTTCAGAGATTTTTGCTAGTTCTACAAGACCTAAACCATGCAACTTTTTCAATTATTTGTTCAGCAGTACACATCTCAAGAGGCAGTGACAAAGGCAACATGGAAATCCAGCTGTATCAGCAATCGCTTCCTCAGCACCTCCGATGCAACTAGCTACAGACGCACTACAATTCTAGCACAAAGGGGTCAACTTAACAGGCTTTCACTTTCTACAACACAGTCTTCAGGACTAAAGTCCGGTTAACCCACAAACTTCTAATGGTGTTGCTCATTCATTTAGAATAAAGAAAATCCTTCCTCATGGTTTATAAACATATCATATCCAAACATTTAGCATAAAAGCTAGGGCTGTGGTTTTTTGCTTCTGTTTTTAATCATCAATGCAACAGAACATTCTAGCAGCTCCAAAATTCAGTTAAGACAAACAGTCCAATTTCTTCGCAATCCACGTTTGTGTGCTTTTAACGTTTCGAAATCTCATTATCTTTTGAATAGGCCTGAGAAGAACACATTCATCAATTCAGGCCTGCAAACAATTCACCCACTCGGCTAGGACAGAAATTCATGTTAAGGGAATTAAAGGGTTCAACTGTTACATTATTTCACTATTTACCTCCGTAAACTCTAAGTCAGGGCAGGTTAAAAGAACAGGTTGAACAAGTTTTCACGTTTGCGATTAGTCACCATGTCCTCGAAGAACAAGTAGGACACGCCTTACATTTCCACAGCCACCAACTTACTTCAGTGCTCATCACCTTCTGCTGGACCACAGGAAGAACTGACACCTGGGCTTCCAGGTTCTCCAAGCCTGCCTGGATAATACAGCCAAAATCATTTTTCTAATTACTCAACCACCTTTGATTCTACAAATTCCTTGGCAAGGCATTAAAGCTCTACCTTAAATGGCTTCAAGCTAGGCATCACTCTTGTTGTTCCTCTTCCAATCTTCAACCAAAACGGACCAACTGAACTTGTTCTGGTCCTCCCCTTGTTGCCCCTGTCATTCTCCACACAGGAACTCCTTCAAAATTCCTCTCTTACCCTTTCTTCTTATCTCCTCCTGTTTAAAGTCTAATTCTTCTTTCAAGGCCCATCTTCAAGGCCATTTTTGGTCCCTCCTTTCCACTAGTACCCAACTACATTCTGCCTTGTATAATATAATAAGTTCTTATTTCCCTTTCAGAATCTTGGCCCCTTAGAATGATCCCCTTCACTCCTTTACGTTTGAGAGAGGAGAGGGTACCCAAGACAGGGCTTCCATATCATATTATCTTCCTTTCTTATTTGAGACAAGCAGCATACTATACTTTGCAAACTGGATTTTTACAAAGATTCCCCCATTTGAGATATTAAGGAAATAAAGGCAAGTTTGCAGGGTATATTCCAACTATTCATGAAAACCTCACTAGCATTCCCAGAGGAGTATGCCTGCACTACTTTATACCCTCAGCTCCTCCTATAAATGCTTCAAAAGTGTAACGATGTCCAGTTATAGTATGGTCATTTATTTTAATGTTTCTGTTATATAGAACAGAAACTACCTCAAAGGACAAATAGACTCAAGGCAGTAACACAACTCAAAAAATGGTAACTATAAAAAAGTCAATGCAAACAGTGTATTTGTAAATAGTTTGCACACTAACAGCTGGCATAAACTGCCAGACTGGCGTTCTGGAAGGTAGACCTTTGTAAGGAATTCTCCTACTTTGAATCCTGGTTTCACTCTGCTCCATCAGCTACGTGGGGCTTGCTATGGAGATTCATTTACATTCATTCTTCACACGTACACCCCACCCTACTTATTTGATAAATATATTATAAGGACAAACTTATGACTATAAAGTTGTTTCGGGAGAAGAGATACAGATTCCACAGAAAAAAGTGAAGTATTAGTGTAAAGTCCTCTGTTCAAAAATCTGGCTGATGTCTGAGGAACATATACAGAAAAGCATGTTGGTGCAGAAGTCCATAAATCATCTGGCAAAATCCAATGTATGTGACTGCTGAAGATCATGAGAACACATGGCCTCAACACTACCTTACTGGGGGTCCTACGAGCCACGAGTGAGGTTCCAGGCTCATGACCTGCAGTGTGCCCTTGAACCTCCCCGACTGACAACTTCACACTAGTACTTCTGAGGTGATTTAGAGAAGAAATCCCAACCTTTGCTCACAGCAACTAAAAGTGAGAGTTTCAGTAAAAGTAAGCGTAAGTTTCACTTTTTGTGTTTCTAATTCAATGGCCAAATCAGGTTCTTAGTATATAAGTGGAATATAACAGGCCTTGTGAATGTAAGGACCACAAGGAAAATTTTTGATACGAATATTTCATGTAGAGGACTAGTAACAAAAGAAATTTAAGGCAAAGGAAGTGGAATGTATTAAATAACTAGTACAGAATTATACCTATGCACTCAATCGCCCTGTCCTTGATCCTGAGTAGGCATTAAAAGGACCCTTTTACAAAATTCTTCTTTGGTAATTGTTGGTTTCAGCAAAACTCAGAGGGTTTGGTGCGTGTAAGTAGAGGGAAGATTTGAATTTAATTAAGTTTTTTGTTGACTGTCTACAAAGATAGACACCACCAATTCCTGCCATCAAGAGGTGGAGTCTGTTTTTCCTCCCCTGAATCTGGGCTGGCTTTGTGACTTGCTTTGACCAACACAACACTGCGGAAAGACTGGGTGCCGGTTCTGGGACTAGGCCTTCAGAGACCTGGCAGCTTCCACTTTCACTCTTTTGGGATCCAGCCACCACGTAAAGCAGCTCAGGCCAGACTACCAAATGACAAGTGATCTATATGGGGAGAGAGGCCCAGCCAGCCCCCAGCTATTCTGGGCACCGCAGCCAAAGCACCAGACAGGAGTGATGCTAAATGAGGGCCCGGCTGAAGGCAGCCACATGTGTGACCCCAGCCTACACCACTTGGGCAGTAACATGTGAGACCAGCTGGCATACATAATTGTAAGAAATAACAAATCGTTGCCTGAAGCCACTATATTTTTGGGTACTTAGTAAAACCCAACATTTTCACATCTATTCTACCCCTATTAACTCTTTGGGGGATATTAAAAATATCAGGAGAGGACATAGGAAAATAAGTCATGTGACTAAAAGCAATCCTCTCGAGGAGGGAAACAATAAATTAAGTGTAAATAAAGATTGGATTTATAAATTGTTAGGTCATATTTATAAATGATTATTAAAAATCCACTTGCATACTTTATAGCCCTTCTTAGACACACGCTGTGTAGAGCAATCAAGGCTAATCCCATACATTCAGGCAACTACGCATACCCAGTCTATAAAGCCTAACCTTTATACTTTAACCAAAGCATAAACAACAGCAAAAATCGCATGCTTTTTTTTTTTTTTTTTT